CAAAGATTTCCGCATCAGATCTAAAGAATTATTTAAATCAAATTCAATAATGATAAGATTTGTGCGATTCAACTCTTTCAAAGCGGCAGCATTAGTAAAAGAACGGGTGGTTGCAATAACGATATTATTGGAATCAGCAGAAAGTTGTTTAGCAAATTCAAACCCAATCCCACGATTGGCACCAGTAATAAAGTAAGTGATCGTCATTTTGTCTATGATGATTTAAAATTATCGAATACCAGTTATTTCAGGTATTTATACATCTTTAATTAATAGAGACCTCTGTAGTTGTTGCTAGAAATGACTTTTTGCCTTCTGACCCAGTTGATACTGCAAATAGCTAAGCTATTTCCGTTTCGTAGACCCGGGTTTCGGAGCACCAAAGCTTAAAGAACAAGATCCGAAAGGCGTTCGATCAAGATTCCCCGAATGGCTAAATCAATTCATAGATCGGTTTCAGATTGAACCATATAATTGTATTTGTTTGACCGGTTCAGACTAGATTAAGCAATTCAGCATTTAAAAGATTATTGTAAAAGCATTAGACTAACAGCACTCCGTTGATGAGTTGCGAGATAACGGAGTAGTTTGTTCGATCAACTACCCCTAAATCCCAATAGAACGTTTTCGTGAATCGCTCTTCCCGGGTATAGGCTTTAGGGCCAGGATTAGGCTAGATTATAATTAATAGGACAGTGACAAGCTTCAAAGAAGTTTCTTCGCAAGCAACTAACTAATATTACTCAAATTAGATAATTGTAGATCAACTTGTACGTTAACTTAATCAAATGAATTGTAAGTAAGGATTTTATTGCGTAGTTATATAAAATACAAAAGAGAGTCAGGCTCACCAAGTACCTTTTTCTCCTTCATAAGTGATAAAACTGTCATCATCGTCTTCTTTCAGTTTTTGTATAATTTTAATTACGCTGAAGGCTGATTCCTCGCTAGTGATTATTGGAACCTGGTAATTTCTTTCAGTGATAACAGCAATGTACGGATCAGCCAAATCAGTTTCAACAACACCAGGATGTACTGCAAATACAATTGACTTTTGAATATGATCCAAGTCGGAAGACTTATGGTCAAATGCAATATGTCTTACAATATGATTCAAAGCAGCTTTAGAAGAACCGTAATGGGATGTTGGAATCGGGAAAAAATTGGTGAGCCAACCACCAGCAGAACTGATAAAAATGAATTTTTTAGCAGTTTCTGGATTGAATTTCTTTGACCAGTATGGAAAGATGGCTTGATAAACTTTGACTGAGCCAGTTGCGTTAACTGCGTAATGTTCATTAAGTTCAGCTTCATTGACTTGTAAAATAGGCTTAATGGTGTTTTTACAAACAGCAGCATTATGGATGACAACATCGACCCCATCTGGAGCGTACTTTTCAAGAGGCAACAAGTCTTGCTTCATTGTTTCCAAAGGAGAAGCCACATCGTATTCGACTATATGAAGATTTGAACGATTTAAATCTTTCAAAGCAGTGGCCTTAGCGAAAGAGCGAGTGGTAGCAATTACATTGTTGTTTGGATCTTCAGAAAGCTGTTTAGCGAATTCAAACCCAATTCCACGATTGGTTCCGGTAATAAAGTAAGTAATAGTCATTATGGATCTGATAATTGACTGCGGTTCATCTCTACGAACTTCAAAACCAATTTATATACCATA